GTCAACCGCACCACACATCCCTGTCTTACTATGCTGCCACTGGCTGTGGACAGATCTTAGCTTATATGCTCAATGACACATTTTCTCCTGTCCTTGCTGCACTCCATCTATCTGTCTCTCTTATCTCATTCTCTTCTGTCTTCCTAAAATATAGGATATCTCAGGGAATTATGGTTGACCCTGACAATCTCAGGTTGCTACAATATATAGTCAGAAAGCATTAACCAGTCAACCAAATGTAGCGGTGAATGTGCTTGCCGTTGGAAAACCGTGCCTCCTGCTCTGGAACAAAGTACCTGTTACAGAGAGTTGGAGTATATTCAGGTTAAACTTGTAGTAAAAAGAATGGGAAACATATGTAGTTATTTTGCTTAATTGCTTCATACATTGTCACGATCCACAGTAAAATGCTTAGCTTTCCTTCCCTTCCCCCTCCTCTAGAGAATATTACCCATCCTCTTGTAAGGAATAAAAATAGGAAGTGCTTCTTGTGTCATATTTTGTAAATCAGAGAAGCCAAAAAATGTGTTTTCTAGTGCAAGGGAATATAACACAGTCATTTGGAATAACTGCAATGACAATCAGATTTAAGTACATATGCAATATATTTTTGCTATATATGTGTGTATATATATGTAAACGTATTTATAAAAATGTTTATGCAGGATTTTTTGCTAGTCACAAAAGTAATAACTCTACTGTCACTATCTCTCTACAGCAACTGTTAAGGACTGTGCTGCTGAAGTGCAGGAGTATGACAGTGATGGACAGAATGCAGCTTTGGAAAAATGCTGTCAAGCTCTAACATGGCAACCATATCAAACCTCTCAGTGGAACAGCTTATTTAACTCTAATTATGAAAAACTGTAAGCAGTGATGTTTGCATGTGGAAAAGGGGGTTTTCTAACTGCCTTTTTTTTTTTTTTGCTGGTATTGTAGTTTTGTAGGAATAAATGATACTTTTGGTATCCCTTCTTACTGAAAGTAAGACTGGAGAAGGAGGTATAGCAGGCATGGTGGAATGTGAATCTGCAGATGTATCAGAGAAAGGGAACTTTAAACACTGGTTTTCCATTTTATTTATCCAATATCTTAACCTTTTGATTATTTCATTTTCACAATAGAATGCTTTTAGCTGAGGTAGGTTCTTTAGAAAACGTTACCATTAGTTGTGCCCTGTGTTGTATCTGCTGGACACTTTTTTAGCCTTATGCCCCATTAATATTGTAACTGGTGGGACTCAGTTCCAAAGATGATGTCTGAAGGGTCAAATTCTGAATAGAAAGAGGAATTTGAAATGTATTTCTAGTAGGGACCCTTGTGTGGCAGGGATACCCCTCGCTATCTAAAAGTTCTTCAGGATTTACTGTGCTGCTTGCTAAGACTAACCGTCCTTTGTGAAATCAGGTCAAACTATGCATTTGCTCTTAATTACAGTAAATGGTGTACTCTGAAAATGATAAACATGAAATTCATCTATGGGAGTCATTGTTCCAAACAATTCAACTTGCAGAAATGGAAATTTGTACTTTTGCTTCTCAATCTGCTTGCATGTGTAAGCAAGTACTCTGAAATTGCTTTAAGGATATTAGCTAACAAATTTGCTTCGCACCTAAGTCTGAAAAAAAAAAAATATGAAATACACACATTTCCTACATATATAAAAAGGATTACCAGTTGTAGAAAGACACAGAGGTTGTTTTGCTTCTTTAATAATGATGGTTTGAGGAGATGGTAGACAATTAATTATAATTTAAAGTATGAATTAACATATGACTTAGTAGTTTTGAAGTAGTTTTAAAGCAGTTTCCTCTTTATTCCCTGTCCCAGTTAAATAGTGATTGTTTGACGGGGGCCTTTTGTTCATAATTTATAAAAATAAAGTCTGTACTTTCCTTGCAAAGTCTGTACATTTTGATTTTTTCCAAGTAATAATGTGCAAGTGAATGGAGGAGTTCTGAAAAGCCATCTTCAGTAATTGTGTTAATGAGAGGTTCTCAGTAGCATCAGACGAGGTCATCATTATCAAACTTTCATTAGTGAGAAAAGCTAGTGCCCATTTAAGAGAAACTTGCCATGTAGTCCTATTATTTCAGAATTATTCATCACTGAAATCAGAGGACTGGAAGCATTATGGGGATAGTGAGTTCACTGTCTCTTTCTAAAAGATATTTTGATATCTTTCCATGTTTGCTGTGAATCATAAGGAG